CTTAAAGGCCTTTGTTTGCTCACTGAGTCTGAAATTTTGGCATGTAAAAAAATAAATTCAACCTCAGTCAGTCATGCTTGCACACTGCCTCTGAAACGTTTGACGGTCATAAAACAAATTGAATCAGGTTCGATTTTCTGCGTTTTTTGCATCTGTAACCATTTTGAATTGTTCATGAATACGAAAAAACGCATGCAAATATTTCGGACTTAGTGTGCAAGGGCCTGTTTGCATGTCCTCCACTGATTCTTTTACAAAGGTTTAAAAAAAATATTGCTCACTATACCTGCTTCTTTTGAGAAAACATAATGGCATATTATGGTGTCACTAAGGCAAATGTGAATAATGTTTTACAGTGGTACCACACATTACCGATGCTATACAGGAATGGGTTATGAAGCAGGCTAAGGTCTCAGTGGATGATGACGGTATTGAACCTGAAGTCTGTGTTATTGAGGTATAGCCATCTGTTTTATGCTGTACATTGAGAGGAAACAGTTAAAATTGTCGCTACTAAGGATCTGAATACATTAAGATTTAAGATACAAAAAAATTATTTTTTTAAGTCCTCTGTATTGTACTACTACCTAGCTAGGTTAGCTGGAATGCTACATATTTACAAGCTTTGTGAAAAAAAAAAAAAATCCACCACTGTTAAAATTAATAATAAATACAATTTGACTATAATGTGCATTTTTAGCATAAATGTATTTACTTTTTTTCCACAGCTTGGAGGTACAGTTGGAGATATTGAGAGTATGCCTTTTATTGAAGCTTTTAGACAGTTTCAGTTTAAAGTGAAACGGGAGAACTTTTGTAACATCCATGTCAGTCTCGTTCCTCAGGTAGGAAACAAGCTTACTTTTTATATTTAAACCTTTGTGGTTTAAAATGAGTTTTTTTTTTTTTTTAAAAAGCAACTATTGTGGTATTTGGATGTATTTTCAGCCTAATTCAACAGGAGAACAGAAGACCAAACCCACACAGAACAGTGTCCGAGAGCTTCGTGGACTTGGCCTGTCACCTGATCTGGTCAGTCTTTACTCTAAAGAGCCAATCCATGTCAAGTCACTCTAGTTCTGAGAAATAATTTTTTCGTTGCAGATTGTTTGTCGTTGCTCGACTCCATTGGACACCGCTGTCAAAGAGAAAATCTCCATGTTTTGCCATGTGGAACCTGAACAGGTGATCTGTGTACATGACGTGTCCTCCATCTACAGAGTACCTTTACTCCTGGAGGATCAGGGCATCGTTGACTACCTCTGCCACAGGCTGGACTTGTCCATTGGGATGAGACCTCGAAAAATGCTCACAAAGTGGAAGGAGATGTCAGACAGGTTTGTATCCGCCTAACAATCCCAAATAACAATTCCAAGGTTGTTGCAGCTGTTTTGAGCCACCGGTGTTTTTGCTCCCTAGGTCTGACCGACTCCTAGAGCAAACCTCCATTGCTTTAGTTGGCAAGTACACCAAACTATCAGATTCGTATGCCTCTGTTATTAAAGCACTGGAGCACTCTGCCCTCGCCATCAACTATAAGCTAGAGGTCAAGGTGAGAAATGACCGCAACTACAGTAGTAGCAATATCCTGTACTGTTATGATGGATGGGATAATTTTGTTCCATTTGATGAATTTGAGTTCATTCATGTTAATAATTTGCAGAAAAAGATTAACTTTGCTTACATTAAACATCTTGCATATATTTGTTTAAGTGTGTAAGTTTAATACTTGAAAATGGTCCCTTATTTCAGTACATAGATTCAGCAGACCTGGAGCCGGCAGCGTTGCAGGAGGAGCCGGTTAAATACCATGAGGCCTGGCAGAAGCTCTGCAGTGCTGAGTGAGTGTGTCCTCAAAATACACTTGACAAATCGCTAGAAAAGGACTAACAACTAACAACATACTACTGTTCCAAAGTCTGAGGTCGGTTTTTAAATGTTTTGAAAGATGTCTCTTATGCTCACCAAGGCTGCTTATTTGATCAAAAATACAGTGGTCAAGTCACCTTGATTTATACAGCGCTTTTAACAATATAGATTGTTTCAAAGCAGCTTTACAGTGATGATAGGAAATTAAAATAACAGATTGTTTTGTCTTTACAGCAGCTCTAGAATAAAGTTATTTTCCAGCTCAATGATTCACTTCTGTTGCAAGGATCATTGGTTATTAACTTAAGGGCCGCTTACAGGACACTGTTCTAACAGAAAACCCATAACACGATCCGGCCCGCTCATTCGCAGGACAACAGTGCCTGGTGGCTCGAGAACGCAAACCTTAAAATAGGTGAAAACATAATCTCTGTGTAAGCATCAAAAACGCGAATCTGTGAAAACGCAGATGGTGTGCACATGAGCATTATGTGTTTAGTCTATAGATATTTGCGTTTGAATATATGCACAGGCATGTAGTCTTTCTTTGCTAATTGACCTCAACAAATTACTTGTCTGGCCCTTGTCTAAAAAAATCATAATACAAAATTTTGAAATATTACTGCAATTTAAAATAATAAACATATGTAATTTATTCATGTGATGGCAACGCCACTACTCCAGTTTTCATTGTCACATGATCCTTCAGAAATCATTCCAATATGCTGATTTGCTGCTCAAGAAATATTCCTTATTATCAATGTTGACAACAGTTGTGCTGCATATTATTTTTGTGGAAACATGGATACATTTTTTCTCAGGATCTTAGATAAATAGAAAGTTCAAAAGAACAGTATAAGCAGTATTTTTAATATAAACAGTAGTACTTTTGTTTAAATACAAATCGTTTGTAAAAGTATGTGTCCTTACTGTCACATTTTATTGATTTAATGCATCATTGCTGAATAAAAGAAATAATTTCTTTAAAAAACAAATCGTACCTACCTCGAACTTGTATGTTCCATTCCGCTGATGTCATGTTCAACAATATTGTCTCTTCGTCAATGTTAACCAATTATCCAAAAGCTGTTTTCACAATTAAATCAATACTTTATGAATACAATCAAGGTCCTAGTTTACATACTGCATTTCACTTTGATTTTAAATGTTGTTGTAATCTGTGAGTCTGAGAATACACTTGTATGTAATAATCAGACTTTGTTAAGGTTATTAAGTTTGAATATTTATTCATTGAATGTAAATTTGACTATTTCATTGTGCTGTTAGTGGGGTTCTTGTTCCTGGAGGCTTTGGTGTGCGAGGCACTGAGGGAAAAATCCAAGCCATTAACTGGGCAAGGAAACAAAAAAAGCCATTTTTAGGTAACAAATTATGTTCAGAAAGCTAGCGGTTCAGTGCTAGTGACAAAATAGGATATAATCGAAGCAGTCCTGTGGTTCAATTTGAAATCAACCTTGTTCTGCAGGTGTTTGTTTGGGCATGCAGCTGGCAGTGTGTGAATTTGCTCGTAATGTACTCGGCTGGGAAGGTAACAACACCCATACTAGATTTTCTGATATGTTTATTAAAGCAAACATTGCATGCTTTTAAATGAATGTGTTTACATTTTTATTTTAAATGTTTTTTCCTTAACAGATGCCAATTCTACAGAATTTGATCCTGAAACAAAACATCCAGTGGTAGGTGTTGTTTTGGTAAAACAAATGAGAACTTCTGCATAATGATTCCCTTTTTTTTGCGTGCTGTGTTAAGATCTTTTTTTTTTTAACCCAGGTGATTGAAATGCCTGAGCACAATCCTGGGCAGATGGGAGGAACCATGCGGTTAGGGAAAAGGCGTACCTTATTCAAAAATACCTCCAGCGTTCTCCGTAAGTTGTGAACTTTTGTGGCATTGTAAAATGTGAAGCTTGCATATCACAAAAATAGAAACGGATACTGTTTTGAAAAGTTTAAATATGCATGCTTACGAATTTTGTTGTAGGAAAGCTGTACGGAGATGCTGAATATGTGGACGAAAGGCATCGGCATCGCTTTGAGGTTCACAATAGTTATAATTTCTAAAATTATTAATCATTAATCCCATTTGCTCAATCAGTTCCTTTTGCATTTTTCCAGGTGAATCCAGAACTGAAGCACCACTTTGAGGATAGAGGCTTTCGATTTGTGGGTCAGGACCTGGAGGGGGAGCGGATGGAGATCATTGAACTTGAAGGTCAGTGCATGTCCAGTATCTGAACCTATGTATGGAGAAGTTGTCAGAGTATTCGCTTCAGCTCGTTTCTTCTGTCACAGCAGATCAGACCTATTTTGTGGGAGTGCAGTACCACCCAGAATTCACTTCTCGCCCCATTAAACCCTCGCCTCCGTATTTTGGCCTTTTACTGGCTGCATCTGGGAAACTACAGAACTACCTACAGAAAGGATGTCGGCTCTCACCACGGTTTGTTGCTTAGTAAATTCTCTCATATCAGCTTAACTATTTAAAGTGGAGACAACTGGCATATAGATTGTCTCATTATCTTGTTTTTTCTATTCTATCTATCTCTCAGAGACGCATACAGTGACCGAAGTGGCACTAGTTCACCAGACTCGGAGATCTCTGAAATCAAATTTCCATCACTATCTTAAAGGGGGAATATCCACAAAATCGGAAAAAATGTATTTATGAAATGAAATGACAAACTTGAATAAAATGAATAAAAAAGGCTTATGTGTAATTTCTAAGTGGCCTGTGTACAGTGATTTATTTGCAGTGAAATCATATGGGGCAAGATCAGAAGAAATATACAGCAGAAGAATATAGTACACAGCTTTAAAAGTACATTAATACAAATTAAACGTTAAACCAGTTAATACATTAATCTACCTTAAATGGTAATCCCACATCTGGAAATTTTTGGGTAATTTACAGATGCAAAAAAAACAAATGCAATACTGTAAATTCAAATTATATATATATATATATATATATATATATATATATATATATATATATATATACTATTAAAAATATTTAATTAGGAAGAAACGTCTATTTGTTTTTAGAGGAAGGGCTTTTTATTTTCTAACTGCTTTTATTTTGTAAAACTCCATTCCCTCAGATGATCTCGCGATATTTTGGCTGAGCTCCGTTCGCCAGAAGAGGCGCTTGTTGAAGGAACAACATCAAAATACATAGGCTTCTGAAAAATTCCATTTTATAAATGTCGAAGATGGGAAGATAATACAAAATTATTTGGATCAGGTATCACACTAATTTACCATCTAACAGGATTACATGAAACCAAAGGAAAGCATCACGAGACGTGGATTGGCACCAATGTTTACTCGCTAGCTGCTAATATGTTGAGCTGAAGATGATTGGTGTTCGGTGATCAATAACAGCAACCACGAAGACATTCGGACAAAAAAAAAAACAAGATTTATTTGTTAATTTGTATTGCTTAATCTATTAATGGCACCATCACATCCCCGTTTATCCAAATAGTTTAAGTTAATCATCTCAGAAGACAGCAAAGCTAAAAAGCTAAAGTCGTTAGCCTGCAGAGCGAATGACAGCTCTGTGATGTTTTTCCTAGTGAGCACTGAGTGGCTCTAAAAGTTCTTGGTTTTGTTAGTGGACCTAAAATAACATTTAAGATCGTTTATATATGGGATGCGTTGACTCAACTCAATATATTCTCTCTTAATACCGTTTTTCGTTTGCAGCTGAATAGACCTCACGCTGGTTTTGAAGAGGCTCGTGACAAACATCTCTTGATTATCATAGTATGACCCAGTACCCTCCACAGACTAGTCGCTCTAACTTCTACGCTGTTGTGAAAGCAGAAGCCTCTTCAACACCTCCTCTCTCCACAAACATGGCCAACAGCACCGTCGTCCCCGGCAAAGTTCCAGGCGCCCCTGGACCTGCAGGAAGACTGAGTCCTGAAGGCACTCAGGTGAGACACTGTGACTTCATGAATAATCCATCAGACATTCTGTATTCATTTATATGCACATACACTTACACAGCACTATTATATAGTAGTATTACATTCTTCTTACTCCATTTGTATTCCTCATAACATTTAGGATCTAATATCTTCCCTACAGGTGCTCAGCAAGAAGAAGCTGCAGGACCTTGTGCGTGAAATTGACCCCAATGAGCAGCTCGATGAGGATGTGGAGGAGGTACTTAATATGACGTATTATTAGTGATATTTTAAGTCAGTGGGTTGCCTGAACTACTCGTTCATGAGGAAACGTTTTATAATAGTTAATTGTTGCAGTTTGAGATGAGCTATGTCCCTTTATATCCACAAAAAAGTCATAAACATCAACTAGTCAGTTCTGTTCCCTACTGTTTTCCTTCTCTTCAGCTCAGTGTTTAGAATTATTTTTATATCAGCATTATAATACGTTTGTTTAGCACGGATGCTGTAAATTGAACAAAAAGATTCAGTAAAGACATATAAACAAATGTTACAAAATAAATGCTGTTCTTTTGAACTTTGTATTCATCAAAAAATTAAAATTATTATGATGTGCACAAAAATATTTAAGCAGTACAACTGTTTCAACATTGATAATTATAAGAACTGTTTCTTGAAAGCAAATCAGTCTATTAGAATGATTTCTAAAGGATCATGTGACACTGAAGGCTGGAGTAATGATGCGGAAAATTCTGCTTTGCTTCACAGAAATAAATTAGATTTTAAGATGTATTAAAATAGACAACAATTATTTAAAATTAATTGTAATTTATTTAAAATCGTAGTAATATTTTAACACTATTGCTGTTTGTTACAGTATTTTTGATCGAATAAATAACGTTAGAGTCTTGGTGAGCATAAGAGAAATAAATCTCACCAACAACATCTGAATGGTAGCATGTATGTATTAATATATCTGTGTATTTGCTGACAGACAGTAAAATGACTTGCTGACCTGAGTCTTTTCCCATTCCCTTCAGATGCTCTTGCAGATTGCTGATGATTTCATTGAGAGCGTGGTGACTGCTGCATGCCAACTTGCACGACACAGGAAGTCAAATACTCTTGAAGTGAAAGATGTCCAGCTACACCTTGGTGAGGGTCTTGAATATGCAGCTCCCAGTGGTTTAAGTGCCTTTTTTAAAATGAATTTAAATAAATAAAAGTATTTTATTTATTTGAATGCATCCGTTTACAATAAACTTAATGTTTTTCATGAATTTTCTTACTATAATAGTAATTTTATATGAAAAATAAAGGTGCAGCATACATTATGGATCCTATAAGTTGTTAAATCAATGCCAATTGCAAATTGATTTGAATGATAATCTAAGGGATTGCATTAATATAGTCCATAATCCTGTTTTGAATTACAGAACGACAGTGGAACATGTGGATTCCTGGTTTTGGCTCGGATGAGATCCGACCGTATAAGAAAGCTTGCACCACAGAAGCCCACAAACAGGTCAGCCATCGCTCTCATGCCCTTAAACTGATCCCTCAAGATGATTTTGAAAAACAAATAACTTGCATACCTAAATATTTATTTCTGTTCTTTCAGAGAATGGCACTGATCCGCAAAACAACCAAAAAGTAGCTAGATCGGAAGTACCAACAAACATTTTTTTCCCCTGGAAGTTTTGGAAGTGGATAGGGTTTGAACCTATACATGTTATGTTAATCAAAGCGGAAGAGTGCGTTGTACTATTTGCAGTACACCTCTTTTGACATTTCCCATTCAAAAGGTGTGCAGGAATTGATGTCATTTATCTGTACAGTTCACTTTGTGTTAAATCACCATGTGAGCATTTTGTTTGAGCACCTTGGTGCTATACTGGGGTTTTATTATATGATAGAATCTCACAGATCTCTGTAAAAAAAAAAAAAAAACTCACTCACAAACTACATTTTTATTCATATTACACGTTTAGTTGACCCAACATGCAGTCGCACAACTTCTGCTCAGCTGGCATTAGTAGCTATGCACAATTACAATCACAATGTCTGATTTGTTTATAATGTTCGATGTTATAGAACTCGTCACTTAAGTAATATTAAGTACTATAGAGAAATCCTCAGTGTGTGACTTTCTAAAGGTAAACCGTCATTTTTACCAGAGAAATAAATACCACTTCCCCATGTTATTAATTGCATTGGAACTAGTGACATAATGCAGATGTTAATTGTTAGAGGGGGTTATATATGTGACGTGGGAAATGGTGCATAAACCCCACTTGCTGTGGGCAGATTTAAAAAAAAAAAAAAAAAAAAAGTTAAACAGTATAAACTGAATTGTTTTTTTTTTTTTTTGGCCGTGTATCAGTGTTTTGCAGTCTCCTGTTTTTCATGAATAAAAAACATAATTGTGATTTATTCACACTGAACTCACTCGCATTGTGTTGGACTGACATCATATCAGAAGTAATAACCAAGGAATGTGTCTAGAGTCTAGACTGTGTCAACTGTATATCTAAAATCTCTTTATCTATGAAAGTCAAATATTAGTGAATCATTTACAAATCTACAGGATTAGCTCTTAAAAACCTTCGGAATGTCATGTAATCCTGAATTCTATGATTATCTGGCAGCCCTTTCTGTAACAACTAAAACAAATCCATGTTTATGGAATGATGTGGTCATGTGCTAAAGTAGTGTGGAAATAAAAACGATTTTTTTTTTCAACTGATGGAATTACACGAAAAAACGTTTATCCAAAGTGAAGCCTAGAAATTTTAACAAACAATTGGAAATCAAATGTGCACATGTATGTAAATGACGTTAAGTGTTGTTTACAAATGCTGAAATCTTGCAAAAAAGCATATATTATCCATGCCATGAGGAAAGATCTGTCTGATCAAATTTAATATTTACAATCTTACATCTTAAAGTGCTAGAGATTAGTTGTAGGTGTATTTAGCAATGTCAGACTGATTTGAAGAACTGTATTCAGGTTGCGATATATTTTAAGTTAACAAGCACAGCTCTTGTTTTTCTCAGCTGCTTCATTGTTTTGTATCTTCTGGGACATTTGGGCTGTAGGAGCTGAGCTCTTGACTCCATCCCACCCGTCGCGCAACTTGATCTCTCCGCTTTTCAAGCCCTGGTAAACCCTTCGGGTCAAAAGATCAAAGGCCTCTTTCACGTTGTGACCCGTTTTGGCCGAGGCCTCGATGTACGGCGCTCCCAATTGGCTTGCGAGCTTTTCTGCCTCGGTTCGATTCACAGCTCGCTCTCCGGCCTGGTCCTGGTCACTCTTGTGTCCCACCAACACGAAGAGCACTGTGTAGGGATGCACACGTTCTGAAACCTCCGCGTGCCACTGCTTCACATTTTCGAAAGATTTGCGGTTGGCCAGATCGAATACCAGAAGACCTCCGACTGAGTTCCGGTAGTAGGAGCGAGTCACAGACCTGTAAATGTATCATAGGTGAAGGGTTATTTTTTTCCAGACCTTTGTACAATGATAATCAATCATGTATTTATACATTACATTAATTATGGCGACATTCTGGCCTCTTTTTACCAGCCAATCAATTCCCATTAGATAAAATCCCCCCCAAAAAATGTCTCATTGGATATTCTGTATCATTCCAAAGGAATGTCATATTCAAGGAAAGTCAGTTCACTGTATAGCCATTTTTGCAATGCCTCCAGGCAGCTATTTTAGGCATGCAAGACCAACTCCCATCTAGTTGAATGGGGAAATATTAAAATCTTAACACTTTTCGAAATAACATCAAATCAGCAATAACATCTGACATGAACTACCCCATACACGTTGTTTCTTATCCTCAAATAGCATTGGTAATATGCATGGAAAAGTGCTTATCTTAGGATAAGAACTGGAGCTTCAATTGGTAAACTGGATGATAGTAATATTATGAGTGAACCATCAAAATGAATAATAAAATGAGTTTATATGTGAAATCATGTTAACTTTCAGGGAAACCATGCAGATTGGGCTCTCACCTTTTCAGGTCATCCACATCATTTGCAGTGAAAAAATGGCTTGATACCTCAAAGCAATATTTATTGTTAAATAAGTGCCTCCTCCCCCCCATCACAAGGCTTACCACCCATGAGGCATTGGAATGACATGAGGGTGAGTAATTTCCTCTTTTGGTGAATATGTCTTTAAAGTAATTTATGTATACCAGTGAACAGGCCCAACTCCAGGATGCTAGATGGGCTATAAGCCTTTTCTGGTGGGGCAAACTGTTGCCTGGGTAGGACAGTTAAGTGGGCCAAGCCCATACTGTAGACAGTGTGAATCCATAGTGTAGACTGACAAAATACTTTCTTGAAGTATTACAAGAGAACTTGCTGCCGTGATGAGTAATACGTTTCACAATTCTGTTTTACAGAAGCAAGGCAACTTCTTTAAACTGTTTTTAGACACTGAACATCTGACTAAACGTCCAGAAGATATTTTGAGGGAAAAAACAGTCCTCCTTCTATCTCCATTTGGACAACTGTGGATTGTTCACCTTAAAAGGGATACTCCACCCCAAAGTTGATGCATGCTCAGTTGATGCACCTTCATGCAGTTCCAGATGTATATGACTTTCTTCTGTAGAAGACAAACTTTTTTTCCCACTAAGATTATTTTGGAAAAAATACTCAATAGTCTCAGGGATGCCCAACCCTGCTCCCAGAGGTCAACACACCTGAACTAGCTAATCAAGGTCTTGCTGGCACACTACCAACTTCAGGTGTGTTGAGGCAAGTTGGAGCTAAACTCTGCAGGACAGAGGCCCTCCGGGAGCAAGAGCATAGTGCAAGTTGACAGTTAAAAAAAACACACAAAATGAACATGACGGAAATCCATACAGCACCTTTTGATGAAGTAATGTTTTCTGAAGTGAAATGTTTGTGTGAGAAAATAATGTTTTATACAATTCTAACTACAATGACTAGCTGTCATATATTTGTTTGCTTGACGTTAGTCTTGTGTAGCCAGACTTTTATACTGACGGTAGAAGGTCTGGTCTCTATCGCAGCTTTTCTTGGCCAAGGCCCATCCAAGAGGACGTTTCACTGACATGTTCTTCTTCCACGAGGGGTTTTGGCGTCACGGCATTTGTTTTCAGGTGGACCGTTAACGAAACTCCTGAAGAGTTTCCAGAAAAGTCTCAGTCTGAGGCTGAGACTAGCTTGACGTAAACGTGGAATTACAGAGGGCGCACAAGTGTACACGCGTATAAAGCGATGGCGAAGATTCAAATATCAGTATTTTTCTCATTCAAACCTATCGTTCCTCACCTGGGCTTGTATGGATCACCATCGGGTTTGTTTTGTGTGGTTTTTGAAGCATCAAATTTTGGGTTACTATCCACTTGCCTTATATAGACTCAGAGATGGATCAATTGTCCAAAAGTCTCCATTTGTGTTCCACAGAATAATCTGGGATGGAGTCATTGATGAGAGAATTTTCATTTTTGGGTGGAGTATGCCTTTAAGTGTTGGAAATTAGGAGAATACAGTTCATTCAATTCATGGCAGAACTTTCAAAAGCTTGAATGTTTGGACTTACCTAAACCTCTCCTGACCAGCTGTATCCCAGAACTGCAGTTTGATCCTCACTCCAGGTTCGACCTCTAGGAAGTGTACATAGAAGTCTACTCCGACAGTCTGGTTGATGCACTCCAGAAACAGGTCCTCTGTGTATCGCTTCAACATGGATGACTTGCCCACCGTGGAGTCTCCTAGCATGATGATTCGAAACTGGTACTGCCACAATGTGAGATCCATGACTACCAATAGCTAAAACCAACGTGATAAATGAAAACGCTAGAGTTCACTAAAAACTGTCACTCCACCAAGATCCTTGGATATTTGACCAGAGAACCCCTTACCTTAGAGTACTTGAAGTTCTCATGTTAATAAACCCATAGTCCCATAGCAAAGGGCAGCATCTGTGTGAACGTCTTAGGGTTGGGAGTGTCTACTTGATCTGTTTCTTTAATCTTTGCCTGTTCATACTTGTTAGTGGGCTGGGTTTATGTGAGGGGCGGAGATTATAAATACCAGCAAAAAGTTTGGAATTTCTCATAGACCAGAGGGAATGAGCATGCAGTATCATATCAGGACAAGCCCAGCATTTCCTGTTGAGAGCTAGTGGCATGCATCACATAAAAGCACATGTAATGAGCAAAAAACATTTCAGCTAGACTTCCTCAATAGGCCAAACCACGAGAATGCTTCCACCCAGGTCATAACCTCTGAAGATGGCTGGAAGACTTCCAATGTTATGATGAAATCAAGCCCATATTCCTCACCAACAGTGTGCATTACAGGTTAGTTTTCATTATTATGAGGCTTTCCAAACAGGAGGTGATCAACAATGGAACTGACTCCCTTAGGAGCACCCAGACAGACGATTTAAGCTAGCTTGAGCTATAAATAGTGTTTCACTTTGTTTTCGGTTACATAGTTTACTTTATAACTCAAATGAGGCTTTAATTGTAGAACTGGTATCCGCATGTTACTGCTATCTGTTTTTGAATGTACTGAAGCACAAAGAGCCACCAATAACCCTAAGTCCACATAAACTCGGCATGAAAGTATTTTATACCAGGTTAGGAAGTGTGGGGATCCAGTGAAGCGAGAAAGCATTCGTTTAACCTAAACAGGACTTGTAGTTTAGTTCGTAAAAGAACTAAAATATCCATTTAAACATGACAGTCTCACGAGTCACGACTCCTCATACTGCTGGAAATAATTTATCATTAAATAATTTATGATTTTTTTGTAGCGTTTCTTTCATTAAAACACCTCGTGATCACTGAACTGAATAGAGATCGGTGAATGCACTTTTCTTGATGACCGCTAGGGGGAGATCATTCTCTATGACAATGACACTAAAACATCCGTAAAGAAAAAGAAAAAAAGCTGAAAAACTGTTTTTTTTCTTTTGTGATTTTGATGGGAAATCTGTGAAAAAAGTATTCAATCTTGGTAAAAGCTATGTACTATTACTACATTCATCATAAAAGCAAAATCAAATTAGTCAAATATTTAATAAACAAACATGAATAAATAAAAAATCTAAATAACAATTAAAAAAAAAAACATGCACACGTAAGCAAGTAAACAAAACCACAAAGCACTTGAATGACATGAACCTGTTAAATTGTATATGTATATGTTACATATATATTATATATGTAAGTGTATTTCATACACATAAAAAGTTTGAAATACAGTAGATATCAATTAAAGAACATCAGAAATCAGTCACTGGCGCTTGTAATGGAACATGTTTGTGATTTTATGTGATTTATGTCTTGCTTTTTTATTTATTTTTTCATCCAAAATACGTGATTACATTTGAATGGCCATAACATGGAAAACCGTGCAGTTAAGTTGCCTTACTTTTATGGATCTTGCCCCAGCTGTCATGCAAGCTCACCTCTCCACTCAGATAGCCCTGATAAATGCGCCGGGTCAACAGTTCAAAAGCTTCTGCCACAATGTGGCCTGTTTTGGCAGAAGCTTCAATGCACGGCGCTCCCTGTTCATGTGCGTAGAAGGTTGCTTATTTTTCACTTGATGATTTTTTTTAATAAGCAATATTTCTCACTATCATCAATATTTTCGTTTTTAACAGCATGTAGCCTTCAATTCTTTAATACATTTACCATCATAAAGTCATTGAATTTAATCTTTTCTTCCAATAGTTAAATAAATTGGAAAAATAGTTCAAACTGATTTTACTGTGGTACCGAGAACCATAAAATTTTAATGGTATCTGTATCGACTACTGGAATTTCGGTACCGTGACATCCCTATCCGTGTTTTAATAGACCATTTCACAAGATGTAAACAACACTGGTCCAGAAGCACTTCCTGTTTCAGTTTTTTAACACTACATAAAAGCTGGGATAAAATACAACCAACAGAACATTTAAAAATGAATCAAAAAGTTAAACAAACATCTTTAAGATGTTTTCTTTACATGTGAAATAAAGAAAACAGTTACAAACTGAAACAGGAAGTGCTTCTGGACCAGCGTTGTTTACATCTTGTGAAATGGTCTTATAGAGTTTTTTAGATGGATGCTGAGGCTTTTTAGGTTGGGTTGAATATGCTGTGTTTCCTGGCAATTGGCAACCCTGGGTTTCGAAATACAATTGGTTGAATTTGCCGTGGGTGAGATCACACAGACCAAAAAAAAAAAAAGACATTCCAACATGGAACACAATTTCAAAGTAAAATAACTCAAATATCTCCAAACATATGCATTTTTATGTTTTAGAAGAGTGAACAAGTTACATAAAGCACCTTTAAGTAAAGATTTGTCTTTTAAAATTGAGAAAGAGCCCAGCAAACAAAGGTCCCATGAGGTTATTTTTTTGGGAACCAAACAAGAACGTAATAAGAACGTTCCATGTAGGTTATTTTTAGGTTCCATTTTATAACGTAAGGAGAATGTTCCGGGAACGTTCCCTTAACCTTACGGGAAAGTTCTAGAAACGTTCTGGGAACCGAAAACTAACGTTCCCAGAACCTAAATTTGTTTGCTGGGAGGGAGAGAGAGTTTAATGCACCTTTAAATTAGTTTTATAGCATGCAAAAGATAGCACAGAAGATAGATCAATTGAATTTTGGTATGAAAATGTCACGTTTATTTAACAACTATAAAAAATGTAATATTTTTTTAATACTTAAGTGGTTTGAAATCACACAGACACAGATCCTCTTAGACTATTTTCTGATTAGTTAAAGATAAAACGCCCACATTTACATTAAATAAAAAATACACAGATTAAGAGGTCGTCTGAACAATACAGCTTTCCTTATAAAATCACTTCTCCCATTTTCTACATTTTTGTGAACACCCACATAATATTTTGATTTCTTGTTGCATGCTGATCCCTGATGCTATTTAACACAGCATAACTCTTTGTATCATTCATTAGGTTACATTATAACAGCACAAATGTCACAAATTGGTTTCGGTATGAGATTCCATCTTGGCTCAAAGTGGCTCATGATACGTATGCAATAGTGGTTCTACCGTCTGGGGCTCAAAGTAGATCATGCTAGCATTATGTTGGCTAGTACCATGTGACACTGGAGTACAGTACCCGTTTGAGATCACTCTGTGTGCGGGGCAGTCATATTGTTGTTGGCCCGGCTCTGCTCTTGCGCCTTGTGTAGATCGACACCCAGGTAGATTCTGTCGACTGTCCAGTGTTGAGTCTGTGGGCATTTCGCCGAAGGGTGTCGCATATTCTGGTTCGGGTGGCAGGGGATCGGCGTATTCGGGAAGTTGTCCGGGGGTGTCGTAGTGGTTGAGGGTGAAAGGGATGGTGTAGCCTTCCTCTATTGGGGGTCGGAATGTGAGTCCCATCATTTGCCCACCTGCTCCTACATCAGGCTCAGCATAGTCTGGAAACAACAGAGAACTGTTAAAGAAGTAGAATTAGGAATAATAGATAAATAGGAAGTAGATATTCCTGATCATTGGAAATTTGATGCCAAGAACAAACATCATGTCCTCCTGGGCGGTTCAAGTTTACGAGTTAGGAAGTCTTAATAATGACGTCAGGTGTATTCAGATCACTTTGGTTTCTGCAAAATAGTGATCTCCCTTTTTTTACATAATTTTTCAATTTAAAAGGTGCTGTTAAATGAATCCGTGTTATCATAATTGTGCAACACTATGATATTTTGTACATGCAACTTATCCAACATATTTTCTCAGTGAAGCCCCCAACTCAGAAAGTTTGGTCTCAAAGAAAATATGATCTTTCTGACATGACTTGAACACAATTTAATAAAGGAATTTCCAACCTTTCTTGTCATCTCTGGACTTGTACAAACTAAAAAATGTGTCATTAAATTCTTTATTTATTAAAATTATATAAATATTTTCTAAGCGTACTTGATGTAAATTATTTAATTGAAGTAAATACACTTCATCAAATACACTTAATGATGATATATGAAAATATTCATATAATTTTAATGAATAAAGCATTTAGTGGCTTTCCCCCCAACAGGATCAGAGTAAATTGTTATATTTTGATTGTTTAATTTTCTTACAATTTCTTATTTAAAAAAAGATTATGATTTTAAATAAAATGATTTTAAATTATATATATATATATATATATATGTCCTATTAGAGGATAAACCTTTTCTGAATACAATAACAACAAATAAATCAAATACATTTTATTTAATATGTAATCTTGTATTCATTTATTTATTATTATTATTAATGTATTATTTTGTTAGCTATTAAAAACTTATCATATTCATGGTACAGTGAATAAACTCTCCCTAGATTAGCCTTCATGCCCAGGGCTAGCTTTTCCCTTGGCCAACCCTTACCCGATTTTTTTTTTTTTTTTTTTTGTCCCGCCTGTTTACATTTCACTTTAGACAATAATGGTATCTGTTATCTGTGTGTTCCCCCATCACCTTATTATGCATGTGACATGTTTGACCCGCGTGTTTTGAATGGCCGTGCTAAAATTATTGATATATTTCACATCGGGTGCCCATGATTATTTGCCATCGCAAAATCTGACAGAACAGATATATAGCATTATTAAGTTTCAACATGATCCCACTGCACTGATCCAGCAGTAGTTCGGGCTATGAAAGGGGTCCCACGGTTCCCTCTCTCCTTCTCAGTCCTTCACTCACTCAGCTGGAATGCTAAGAGGGCGAAGACGTTTTAATTGAAGCGACTTTAGAAAGAACTCTGATTGTCTTGGCCACTGACCCTCTGTCCTCCTCATCCCAGAACCCCTTACTGAAGGGTCTGTTGGCCAGTGGGTGGTGAGGAGGGTGCTCTTCTGACTTGAATGCCCCTAATTTGGGCTCCAATTAAAGAAGCCTTTCAGGGAAGCACTGCCGTACGAAAGAAAGACATGTTTATGCCGCCACTGAGCAACTGTTGGAGGAATGAGCCCAGAATGAAAGCCATTTGCATGTC